CATCCATCCATCCATCCATCCATCCATCCATCCATCCATCCATCCATCTATCCATTATCTTTTACCCGCTTCTTCCATTTTGGGTCACGGGGGTCGCCGGTGCCCATGTCCTGTGGGCACCGGAGTCCATTTCCACTCCTATTCTGCATGGGTCTGAATCGTTGCAAAGAGTGGATATAGAGTTCAGTTCCAAAGTGGCACAATCATCAAGTCACCTCCTTTACATGGATGACATCAAGCTGCATGCTAAAAATGAGCAAGACATCAACTCACTGATCTACCTCACCAGGATGTACAGCAAGGACATTGGAATGCCATTTGGACTGGATGAATGCCATCAAGTGGTATGCAAGCGAGGCAAGGAGATCACAAATGAAGGGGTTGAACTACCTGAAGGCAACAATGCAGATATCCAGGACATATACAAATATTTTGGAATCCCACTGGCAAATGGCAATCATGATGAGGCCGCAAGAAAGTTAGCCACAACAAAGTACCTACAGAGAGTAAGTCTTGGAGGTCCTGAAGAGCCAGCTGAACCACAAGAACAAAGTCCAAGCTGCCAACAGCTAGTATAATAGCCTGGCCAAAGGAGTAGATAGAAGCCACTGACATAAAGACTTGAAAAATCCTCATAGAGAGTTTTACCCCCAAGTCCAGCACCCTGAGACAATACACTAAGAGAAAGGGGAAGGGGGGGGGGGTGTCAGAGGACTAGTGAGCACCCAAACCACTCAACAGGATGAAACAACTAAGATCTTGAGGTACATCAAGAGAAAAGCCCAAAATGATTATTTGATGAGTGAATGTCTTGGGCAGCAGCAGAAACCCAATAGAACAAGAAGGAAAAAGAGGAGCTATCATGGAAAGTTAAGGCCCTGTACAGCATGTACCATTGGCAGATTGAGGAAGTGGCTGAAATCAACAAATCCTACCAGTGGCTAGAGAGGGCTCATCTGAACGACAACACAGAAGCACTAATCATGGCAGAACAATAATAGGCCCTCAGCACAAGAGCAATAGAGGCCAGGGTCTACCATACAAGACTAGACCCACAATACAGGCAGTGCAACAATGCCCTTGAGACAGTACGACACACAATAATAGGGTGTAAGATCCAGGGAAACAAATCATACATAGTGCCATATATATCCATCCATCCATCCATTATCTTTACCAGCTTCTTCATTTTTGGGTTGTGGGGTCATTGGTGCCCATATCCAGCAATCATTATTCGAGAGGCAGAGGACACCTTGGACAGGTCTACAGTCCATCACAGGGCCAAATAAGAGACAAATAAGACAAACAACCATTCCCAATCTCATTCACACCTAGAGAAAATTTAGAGTTACCAATTAGCCTTGCATACATGTTTTTGGTCTGTGGGAGGAAACCAGAGTACCCAGAGAAAACTCACCCATGCACAAAGAGAACATGCAAGCTCTACCCAGAAAGACCCTTGGTTGGGATGCGATCCAGCAACCTTCTCAATGAGAGGCGGCAGACCTATCAACTGCGCCACCATGCTGCCATCCTATAACCAAGCGGTTGGAATAGTGTACAGGAATATCTGTGTCAAGTATGGACTGGAGGTCCGACAGCCAAAGTGGGAGAGGCCACCAAGGGTGGTGGAGAATGGAAGGGCTAAGATACTGTGGGACTTCCAGATCCAGACCGACAAACAGGTGAAGGCTAACCAACCGAACATTGTGGTGGTAGACAAGCAAGAGAAGAAGGCAGTGTTGATAGATGTAGCAAAGTGACTGTAACATCAAGAAGAAGGAGCATGATAAGCTTGAGTCATACCAAAAGCTGTATTAGGATACAGAAGTTGTGGAAAGTCAAAGCATCAAAAGTCCCAGTGGTCATTGGAACACTTGGTGCTGTGACCCCCAAACTGGAAGAGTGGCTCCAACAGATCCCAGGAACAACATCAGAGATCTCTGTGCAGAAGACGGCAATCTGAGGACCAACTAAGACACTGCGTAAAACCCTTAAACTCCCAGACCTCTGGTAGTGGACCCAAATTTTAAGTGAAGTCAAACCACCCAAGTGGAAGAGTACAGTGTTTCCTCTACATTACAGTACTTGCCTTGGCAGGGCGCTCATCTCTTCTGTGATTTTTGTCAACGGGGGGTGGGTAGACAAGAGACACATCAGTGTTGCGCACTGTTTGTATCGACAGTTTTTGAACAGGGGGTAGACAATCGATCGATCGATAGATAGAGCGATATATATATATATATATATATATATATATCTGTGGCCATCTTGGATTTTTAAATGGCATCCTAATTTTCAAAGGGAAACATTCTTATGCCTAGCTGCAGCCACACATCAAACAGGAAGTGGGTCAATTGCTTATTTTACAAGTTATCCAGCTCACAGGGTTCACATATATTTGGCAGTGGCCATTTAGGATTTTGACAAGGCAATCCAATTTTCAAATATAAATTTTCATTCACCTAGATGCGGCCAAACACAAAAATGGAAGTTGGAATCTCACTTATTTTTCAAATTATCACATTCAAAACATGCATGGATGGCCGGACAGACGGAAGGTATTTCCAATTCCCCCTTTTTTCTTTGCAACAGATGATAAAAAGCAACACTGAAATGCCAGAGAAACTCCAAAACTGTGACAGTGCTAAGCTAGATCTATCTAAGAATCAGTTTACAAGAAACAGAAATTCAAGACAAATGTAATTTTTAAAACTAAAAACGTTTTTGTTAAGAAGTGTAAAAGTCTATTATTTTTATACTTAGTGAGGTTACACTTATTATCTGAAATTGTTATAAACAACTTCAGTGAGACTAATGAAAAAAATGGGACCATTTTATTGAGTTTTATTGACCATTAAGTAAATATCAAGCCCTGAAATCTTGTATTCTATTTTTGAGAACTTCAGGGATCAGTGTCACAATATTTACTGCTTTTTTTCCTCTAAAACTAAGCTGCAAAATTTTGAGCTTTCAGTACACTAAACCCTTAGACACCTCATGTAGCAGGATGCTAATCCTGAAAACACAAAATTTGAGATTATTCCTAAAAAAGCACAGACGACCACTGATAAAATGAACAGCTCGTCTGTACAATCTGCTGTTTTATGACACAGCAAAGACTTAAATGTCCTGAGTTAAGTGCACTCTGCACACAATACAGTATTGCAACTATGTATAGCGTCAATGGTGGATGCTAAAAACAAAACACTTTACAATGTGGTTGTTTTGTTCACTTAAAGACAAAATGGGCTTCAAAATATAAACAAAAATTGACTTAAGTGAAGCTAAAATTACAAAATAATATGTATCGTTTGCAATGAAACACCTTCAGTTACTATCCTGTTTAAAATGTGTGTCTTATATCTCATTGTGCCACTTTGAAGTATTTCTTATACAATTTATACTTGTGTTTCTGCAGTCTTCTTTTAAATCCCTGTAAAATCTAAAGTCCACACATCTAAACTCACATTGACTTTCATTGTATCCGAGCTCAACTTTTTCTCCTCAAAACTGGAAGCGAGAAATCTTCTATTTCATACATAAAACACAGAAGACACCTTAAAGTTGACATGTGGGACAACCAGATTTCTGACATTTACGGTTTGGGGACTTTTTCAACACAAATTGCTGTTTGTGCCAAGACTGGTTATCCAGGGTTATTTTCTAATCTCTGTTTCTGTCTGTCTGTCTCATAAACAGTGCGGTCAGAAAGTTAGAGACAAAGGTGATATTTGACCTTGACTCTCTCTCTACTGTCATTTTTGAGAATTATTATTTGTCAACTAAAACATCACGGAATCATATAAAACACCCAAATGTCTGATTGCTACTATTACCCCAAAAAAGGGGATTTAACTATTTACCAGTACTGTGTGAGTGTTTGCAGGTCGTTGTTTTTGTTGACGGGATAGTGCACCCCCAGGTGAACCAGCTTCTCCAGGGCCTCGTAGATGAAGATGATGCAGATCAGTGCTGCAAACGCCTCTTCGGTGAAGCGTGTGATGTAACAGACAAGCGAGCTGGCATCTGTGGCCACCAGCAGCAGACAGAAGAAGGCTGTCCACAAGCCGATACAGGTCCTCAGGGAGAGGTAGGAGAGCCCATACTCCCTGACACACACAAAACGCAGGGTTAGTGGGAACAAGGTATACTGCTTTTTTGTTGTGCAGAAGCCCCATCTACTCTGTAATGGGAACTATGTTACCAGAATAAATTCAAAAGTAAAAAAAATGCCTACTTGCAAAACTTAAAAAGGATCTTTTCAAAGACGAGGACGGGCCCAGTGCTTCCCAGGATGGTGAGGGGTTGACCAGCAAACAGAGAGTATGCTATTCCAGTCATTGAAGCCCCAAACAGGGACTCGATAGCACTCTGCAAAGAGACAAAAAAATTATCTGATTCATTCAGTCATACATGAAGCCTTTAGTGTCCAGGATTGCTTCATCAGCTTAACTTAGACATAATTAATGGAGCTAAGTGGGTGCTGGATTCTAAACCTAGACTAGTGTTTTAAAGAGTCAACTTGAGGTTCCAGTTCTGGATTTTCAGTACCAGATTTTTGTTCACTTCACAGGTTTTTTTTTAATGTGTAGTTCAAACCAGCCATTCAAAATGAACTTTCTGTGTACCTCTGATGCTGATCCCAAGTCTGGATCAATGGTGATTCAGGATGGTACAACTGCCTTACGAGGTTGTATGGCAGTTGTCCCAAATAGTTTGACAGCCTTACCAGATCGTATAACTGCCTTACCGGATCATACGGCTTCCTTAACGGGTCATGAGACTGGCTTACACGGTTGTATGATTGCCCTACTGGATCATATATCTGACCTATGAGACTGTGCAACCACCTTACCAAATGACTGCATTTCTGGATCATAGACTGCCTTACCAACTTGTGCCAGGGCTCTACCAGATTATACAACTGCCTTATCAGATCAATCAAATGTCCTACCGGATCATACGTCATCCCAATCAGATTGTACAAAAATTTACTGAATGGTACGACTCCACTACTAGAGTGTGCAAAGGCCGTATCGGATCAGTCAGGGACCCAGGATAGCAGTTTCCTCCAGTACTATAAACCAGGGAAATTGGAGTTGGAGGCAGATGATCTGCTTTGAGGAACCCTGCTACAAGAGATCAGCCGAAAGAGAAAGAAGATGTAGCGCAAAACCAAAAAAAAAATTTTATAGTTCCAAAAGACAGTAGTTTAAATTAAGCTGTTGTCTCTAGTTTGTGGCAGATGCGATACGTATCTTGATGCTTTGACAGTGATGTGACTAATTAAAGATATGTAGGCAGTATAAAAGGAAACAATACAATTCAACCTTTAACAGTGATGCTATGTGATTAAATTAATTTGATTTAACGCAATGAGATTTAATATAGTATAATACAACACAAGAATACTGCGTATGGCACATTATACGCCTGGCGATAATTTATTATACAGCAATACAGCAATCTATAGTAATAGACTGGACAAGCAAAGACTTTGTATAATATTTTATCTTAATTTGTGACCTTAACGTTGCACTCCATCGAGTGATGACGCATATGTATATGACGTTTCGCAAAATTATCTTGAGTGGATCGTAAGTTATGATCCAAGGGAAAGTTTACAGACGTATGTACGTACTTACAGAGACTATACCATAACACGTCTGCCTTTTAACGAGTGTATAAAAAAAAAGATTGCTTCTTTGCCAGTTATTGTGACTAATTAGTTACTATCCACAAAAAAAAAAATGGTTTACAAAAATGATTTGTATTAAAATTACACATTCATAAAGACTCATGCTTAGCAAACACAAAAATGGAGCCTGATTCAAATTGATTGCATCTACTAGAACAGATGTATTTTATATTTTTTGTAATTCATTCAACTTTTATTTATATAGTTTAGTCTTGTTGAGTCACGAGGACTAATTTTCAAGAGAGACCTGTAATATTAGTTGAGCCATTTGATCAGGGAGAAGCACACTTTCAGTGTTTGTTGCTGTTCACAATGGTGTCGCTGGAATTCTCTTAAACTTAAGCGTAAACAAATATTTGCTTTTCAAATGTTTGTGTACAGTTTTAAACATTTATCTAAATGAAGGTTGAACAGATTAATTATGCCTTTTAGCTTTCTTGTGATATTGCTTTATAGCCATAAATGCCCCTACAAAACAGGTGTATAAAAAAATAATGGAGAGACATCAGACCATTGTGTTTTTCAGTGCTATTTAAAAATTTAGACTAACTTGGACCTTGAAACTGAAATAAAGATGGATCTTACCACACGTCCCTCAGTAGCCTCACCCAGTAGTCCTCCAAAGGTGATAACAGGTGACATGCAGGCGCAGTAGAGGAAAAGGAAGGAGGCCAGACACTGGAGGCTGATAGCATCTGTGTAGTCGGAAAGGTAGTGAGGAGCCTTTCGCTTGATGTCCAAAAAGAGCCCACCACAAAACCTGTTGTAAGATAGAAAATTTGGAAAAAAGGTGCCAACCAAAAGAAGGTGCCCATGACACTAGTGTGGATGGAGATTGAAATGTATCCACTGTAAAATAGAGTTTTGCAGAGCCATTTAATAATATTAATGTGCTATGGGTCGTCATCATTGTATGTTCCCATACAATGGGGAAATTGGCTCTCTGCATGTAGCCCATCGCAACTGGGATACACTCAGGTGGAGCAGTGGGCAGCTTTTGAGGACTGCCTGAGGAGCGATTGGGGATAGGTTGATCTGCTCAGAGACACCATGAGATGTGCAATGACTGGGGATCGAACCTGGGACTTTTGGGTCCCGAGTCGGCTGCCCTGCCCCTACCCCATCTCGGTCCCCCGATCACCTTATCGCCTTATAGAACGCTGTCTGGTAATAAAATCTCTCTTGAACCAACTGGCAAATTTTAGTGAAACTACTGATTAGTACCGCTCGTGCATCTACAACTTATTAACCTTCAGAGTCAAACCAATTCAAGATGGTTGCCACACCTAATTGACATTAACTGATATTAGCCAACACAAAATTGAGCAGTAGTAGTTCAGTGTTTCCCCTAGATTAGCTCTCTTAGCGGGACACTCGTCACATTTTTTTTGTAAACGGGGGTGGGGGAGTCATGTCTGAGTTGTCCGCCTGCTAGCTTAGCGCTACGTTGCTGCCGGATTTATCGATGACCGGGGGAGTGGGGTACAGAGTCACGTTTGTGTTGCCTGCCTGCTAGCTTAGAGCTACATTGCCGCTTGTTTTTATCAACGACAGTGGGGGGTAGAAAAGCGGAGCGGTACGTCAGTAGCATTTTTGCTAGCATGTTTGCACTACATCAATACCAACAGTTGTCGACTGGGGGGTTGGGGGTTTCGGTAGGCAGGGCACCCGGTTCTGTTGACAGGGCAGGGCGCCCTGCTTGTATAATGGTAGGAGAAACACTGTAGTTATAACCATGGTGTATTTTGAGAACTAGCACATTTTGTGAAATGTCACAATTTTGCATGATAATGTATATCGTATACAAAGTTTGTCCAAACCTCCGTCCCTTCTCAACAAAAGATGATTTTAGGTAAAACTCTGGCTCAATATACATTCCTTTGAGGAGTGCTAGGCCTTTCATTCAAGAGTGTGCGTCAACCTTTTCACTTCACACACCGCCAGCAGCCTCTACTGCTACATCCGACTGGGGTGGAGGTGAACCAGTTAGAGGAGGTTGCTGTGGCAACACAGGGTGGGTTGCTGTGTTGGGACGAGGGGGAAGGACATGTGATGGAAGAAACTGGGCTTATGGCCAAATGTAACTGAGGAGAGATGTTATGTTCTGCAGAATACCACAGCTCAGTTTCAGTCCTCTGCTATTAAATCACCAAGCTACACACCAAACACCCTTTACACACCAAATACATTGTTTTGATTAGGAGTTCAAGATTACACACTGGGAAGAAAAAAAAAATCATAGTACCTTAAGTTTGCTGATGTAGTACATTGTTTTAGTTTTGAAATACACTGTTATAGTCAGATTTCTTGTTATTTGAGTCACGCTAAACCATATTTTTGCTTGTTATGAGCTTGTTTTAGGTCGTTATTGTCAAGATAAATGAGGTTGTGGTCCTATTTTACAATCTTGTAGGCACGTTTGTTTTTTTTACATTTTTTTTGTTGAAGTAATGTTTTGTCCTGTTGTAGTTATGTTTTATATTGTTTTTAGCCATGCTAAATTAGATTTCGGTCAAGTTTTACATTGTTTTAGACAGTTTTGACATTATTTTAGACATGCTTTCTGTTATTTTAGACATATCCGATATTGTTTTAGACATATTAAATGATGTTGTAATTGAGTTTTATATGCTACATGATGTTGCAGTCATCTTTTTTTTTTCATTAAAGCCTGATAAGTTTGTCTTGGTTGGAAATTAAATTATTTTCTAGCTTAGTATCTTGTAAGTAAATAATAACTTTGGTTGTCTCATAAATACAGTGCACTACTTCTCTATTAGTTGTGAAGTACAGTAGAATAATACCGTCCAACAAATGTGACACTAAAGGGCAAAAAAAACAACAAAATAAAACAGTTGTTCTTAGGTACAATAATTGTATTGACTCCATTTTCCACTAGAGTGAATTTAAATGTGACGTCAATTTTCTAAAATGTTACTAATTTGGGATAAAGTTCTTGAAATTTTTTATTAAAAAATAAATAATCAAACAAAGGTGTCTGTGTTGGGTCAAGGAGTGAGGAATGATACTTGTCCAATGGGGTTGCCTTTTAGAACAGCAAAATTTACTGTTTGGGACCAGTGAGGTAGCTACTGGTGACAAAAAGATGAGCACAAAGGAGAGCGTCAAGAAGTCAAAGAATGTAAATCCTTACCTTCCAGTGCGCTGCAGCTCAGGCCCACCATGTCCTCCATGTTCCTCAGATTCGCCAAGATCGGTCACTCCGTTGGGAACAGGGGGAACCTTCCGCTTTTCCTGTGTAGTGAAGATCACTGTCAATCAACTGTTGGTTAATGGCCGTCCTCAGGGATAGAAATAAGAGGGACAAGCCTCAATGCTCTGTGATCTGTGACCTTATCGGTCATTTTCTGTTTAAATATGACCACTTACATCTAAATCTAGCAAAGTATCATGGACAGAATTATAGCAAAACAGTTTAATGTCACAGTGGTATGGTATTTATTTACCAAAGGAGCCCTAAGAACAAAGAAAAAATGACATTCATTCACAAGTAACCACTGCTAATAAGTAATCAAAAAACAACAGGATTGTCACCTGAGAGGGAACATTTTTGGGAGGTTCTATCCTGATGGAGGGGTCCCACTCGCCAGGGGGTAACACCGTCACTTGATCCAGAAACTCATCTATACCTGCCACCAGGTCACTCCTGTCTTTGGCCTTGTAGGCGACATCATGGAAAATCTACAGAGGCACAGTACATATTTACAGACTTCTGTAGTACTGGAACTAGGAAAAAAATAAACAAAACAAGAGGAACGTGCTTTCTTCAGTCTATTCAGTTACGGTTATTGCCTACACGAAGCCTTTATATTTTTCTTATGCTAAATAAAGATCATAATTTTTGCCCACACTGGCAAATTCCCAAATGATGTTGAATTCATTTCCATATTTGATAAAATAAGTTAAACATTAAAAACTCCTATTTTCATGTATCCCAAAGGACCGGTTCAAAAACAAAAAGGAACATCTGGATTAGATGACTGTAAGTAATATCAGATTATAGATGCTGTGGGAACTGTTCTTTATTCCCCAACGGGTTGATGTTACTGTTGATGCTTTCTACAGATAAGTCAAAGGTCAGTCTTAGTTACACAAAAGAGCCCATGTAAATGACTATATTGATTTCCTGCACGGCCTGCTTTCTTAGGTTATATTATTTAAACATTCTAAATTAGTGGTTCCGAACTCTGATCCTTGTGGAACACCATCTTGGATGTTTTAGTAGTTTCTCTGCTCCAACACACCTGTTTCAGTGGTTTAAGTACTTTATTGAGTTTGGCAGAAGCCTGTTAATCACCCTTTCAATCAAATCAGGTGTGATGGAGCAGAGGAACAACTAAAACATGCAGTATGGTGTTCCTCAGGAACCAGTGTTGGGAACCCCTGTTCTAGATTTATTATTTCATGTTTGCGTGGGGATTTAAGCTGAAATGCATGACTGGGTGGGAAGATAAACATAGCACAAAAAGTAAGGAAACTTGTCTTGGTTGATTATTTCTTTGGTGTAACAATATTTCTTGGCAAAACATTTTAAGCTGTTGGAAAGCCAGTTTATTTTACATTAACTAGTGCCACATTCATTAAACTTTTATTTATACATGTTAATCTCATTGAGAATCAGGGACTAATTTACAAGAGACCTGATTTTTAACAAAGAGTGATGACAACAGTGGACAACAAAAACAATAGACAATTATAAAGGATGTATACAAATTGAGAATAACAAGTGAAAATAAAATGGTATTAAAAAGTGAAATAAAAACCAGCTAGGTTGTAAGGCGATGTAGAAAACTAAAAACAAGAACATGTCTGCATTGGTTTTTGCCAGGAACTTAACAGATGTTTGAAGCCACTTAGAGAGGTCAAGGTCGAGAGCGTCAGGTCTTTTTGTAAGATATTCCAGGAAACAGGAGCGGAGTAGGAGAAGGTCCTTTTGCCAAGTTCAGTCCTCACTGAGGGGACACTGCAGGTAATAATGTCCTGAGAGTGCACGCTGTAGCTGCACTTACGCAGGGACATGTAGGAGATGTAAGAAGGCAGCATACCAAGGTGTGATTTAAAGATGAAAATATACCAGTGAAAGAGTCTGTGTGAAGTTAATGACGTACAGTTAACCAGTGAATACAGGGTGCAATGGTGGATATGATAGTTACAGCCAGTTATGAATCTTAGCGCACCATGATAGACAGCGTCCAACAACTTCAGAGTGCTTGTAGGGGCGTTCATGTAAATAATGTCACCGTATTCAATGGAGGGAAGGAAAATCGCAGTTATAAGGCATTTCCTAGTGTTCAGAGTTAGACAGGCTCAACCCACATTTGTTCACAATTGTGGGTTGAGCAGCAGAGTTGAGGTTGTGGGTTGTAAAAACTTCCCAAATATTTTCTGTGTCAGAGTTTCTTCTGCTAGTGACTTTTGTTTGAGCTTCTGAAACCCCAGGCGTTGACAATCTGGTGTCTGATTTCCAGTGGTACAGTAGTCCCTCGCTACTCTGCGGTTCGTTTTTCGCAGACTTGCTCTATCGCTGTTTTTCAAAGTAAGATTGAACATGACACATGGACATGACACACAACTGGCTAACTGATGGATGAGCCGCACGATCGGCATGGAATTTTTATTTAAAATAAATCATTTAAAATTATTTAGCACCTGCTGCACCTGTGTGCAGCCCACTGGTGCATGAGAAGCTTCCTCCTGCAGCATGTCATTTCTCCGCTCTGCAGCAGATAAGTGGGCGTGGCCGAGAGTGCTGGCAGGTGGCACAGAGAGTGGAGTTGATGAAATGCTGTGCTCTTTTAGAGCGTTTGGCGTTTAGAAACATTGTTTAGAATATTGCAAGAGTGTGGGAAGGGTTTAAAATGCCTTTATACACTGTGTATATATATATA